GAGGTAGCCGCACGAAGGACCAAGCTTGGGAGAAGTCTGAGTACCCCATGAGCTGTTAGTGCTTCGGCCTTTGGCCTACCAGGGAGTCTCTTTTACTCTTTTATTAGTTATGGTGTGCATTGGGGACAATGCACAATTTTAAGTGTGGGGTGAGGAGATTGTCTGGGTGACTTTCTATGCTATTTTAGTTGTGTTAGTTTAATTGAATATTTTTTTAAATAGAAAAGGTTGGACTTTTTCCGACGATAGATCTATTAGACAATTTTCTTGAGGGATTTAAGTCTAAATAAAAAATAAAATAAAAAAGAGTTTCTTTTGTTAGGTAATGTAGCAATTCCCCATTGGTTTTTCTTTGTGTCGCAGTTCTTTTCCAAGGGTTTTATTTGAACCGGGTGTAGTTAGTTTTTTTAGGAATATGAGCCATTGTGTTGTGTATTGAAATGAAGCAATATCTCTTGACTTTGTTATGACTTGAGAATAGTGAGTACTTTGGTTGTGACGCTTAGGCTCAATTTTTGACTCTTGTAGAAGTACCTTAAATTTTATGATCTTAACTTTGCTTAACTGCTTTGACTAGAGTGTCTATGAATCCAATCCTGAGTGAGTTATGTGCCATGCGTGTAAGGTTTTGCGTTATTCTGTGCATTACATTTGATGCCTAGAACTTGCCCTGTGTGTTTACAAAGCGAAATAGTAACTTTGTTCAGTCTTGGAAGTGATATAGGCGTTTCTTTGTTGAGCCAGATATGTATATTTTACCTACATAATTGTATGTATCATAGTTAACCCCTTTGAGCCTGTAATATTGTTTCTTTGACAACCACATTACAAGCCTTACCCATTTGTTTGAATTAACCATCTATTTGAACCATTGTAACCTCTCATGAGCACTTGAATTGTTTATGAACTTTGTAAAGGTTAAAATGTGGGGTGGTTGATTTGGCTTTTGAGTGGAACTAATTAAATAAGGAGAAAGGTGCACTATTTCGAAAAAATAAGAGCCACTTGAATTGGAAAAAAAAATAGTTGTATTGTTGTGGAAAAAAATAATTCCTTGGTAAGTGGTGGCTCTTGATGTAAGTGTGCTTAAAGAAGAATGAGGTAATATACATTGATGTGAATGTGGAGTTTGGTTTGACATAAGTATGGGGTTTGAATATTAAAATATATGTATTAAAGTGCTTAGGGAGGTGTAGTCACTCTTATATCCAAATATATCCTACCCGTCCCGCAGCCTACATTACAACCAAATAAAGTCCTACTTGATCCTAGACCGCGTGAGCTCGATTAGTAGAGTAGTACATTACGGGCAAGCTTATGGTCAACTTTTGTGGCATATGAATGTTATTTCTGAGAGTGAGTGAATTCTTTCTATCTTGAGTTCCTAAGTGTTCTTAAATTTTATTGTGTGGAACTACTCTCTTTTGTTGTGAGAGGGCACTTGATTCATGAAGGAAAGGTATTGTAAGTGACCTCTATGTTAAAGTAAGTGAGTGAGTTGTGAATAAATACTCTTGGTGTGATGAGTTAGGAGTGATTTGTTAAAGTACTTGTGATTCAAATCTTGAGGTGAAGATGTTACGCTTTTGTTCTTAGTCTATTTTAAATACTCTTGGTTTGATGAGTTAGGAGAATTGTTTAAAAAGGTCGTGTCTATAAAAAGTGTAATTTGATTGCTCGAGGACGAGCAATGGCTTAAGTTTGGGGTATTGATGATAGTCTATAATTACACATTTTAGTCGCTTATTACACTCAAATTTACTGCACTTTAGTAGAGTTTGCGTTTTAATCGTTAGTGTTTTGCACTAATTGTGTATTTTATGCCTTGTAGGAGTGATTCCGAGCTATGTAGATGTTATGGAATGAATTTAAGTGATTTTGGAACTTTGAAGTCTGAGTAAAAGCCCAAGGAATTAAGCCGGAATCGTATTCGGGGATCGACAGATGATAGAGCAACAAAACGAAGAATCGAGTAGGCATATTGCGCATTGTCTATTAAAATGAACATATCCTTTTGCTCCGAATTCCATTTGGGCTCCACAAAATATAGTTGGAAAGATAATTAAAAGGGCTATAACTTTCGGGTTTTATGTTTTTCCAAATTCTGAACGGAACAGGGTGAAAAACGTGGTCGGAACCGCGACTGCGGACCTGAGGCGGGCTGAGGCAGTATACTTGCCAAATACCGCATCCGTGCCGCGCCCCGACCGCGGCCGCGACCATCCAGGCCTGAAAACTTGTTTTTTTTCGCGTAGGAGAAGGTATAATTGTTTGGGTCCGACCCTACTTGGTATATATACATGAAAAAACGGTATTTTTGAGGGAGGAGACATACTTTTGACATAATTTAGACCTAAGGAGGGGAGGAGTCCAATTTTTGATACAGATTCCACCTAAGGAGGCAGAGACACAATAGGAGCAAGGCGGAGAATTCTTCTACGAGTTTTTCTTTCCTCTTCCTATTTTTTCATTGTGGTTATGACTTTTAGTATTGTAGTTTTACATACTATTATGAATAGCTTATGTGTTATCTATGGTTTTGATAGAACCTTTTGTAGGATAAATTCTTGTTATGTTTTTATATAATTGAGCCGTTGGATTTCTCTACTTGTTCAACTACTTGTTTGTTGTTGTTGATTGAATGACCACCAATTGACTGTGCCTATTTAGTGTGTAATGCTCGAGAGAGAGTACATATTTAGGTAGTTGTTGAACAACGTCACTCCTAACGTATGTGAGAAATCAATATAGTGGGTTTAAAGGCATGCTTAGAAATAACAAAGCCTTGACGTGGTCATAATAAGCGGTTAGATAAAGCCAACTAGTGTAGTTCGAGAGAATATGTCTAGTAAATTGTTGTAGTTGTTGAATTTGGCAAAACATTTTGTCCCACATCGGTGGGAAAAGAAGGGTTGGGGGGATTTTCCCCCTATAAAAGAAGGCTTAATGTTTAGGATTTACACACACCTCTCATTTGCCTTCTCATCTGTTTAAGGCATTTGTATCTTCTCTCTTTAGTATTATTTCACTTGTATTTTTGGAGTGGAATAAAATATTGGTTGTGTCCGAGGAGTAGGCAAAATTAGCCGAACCTCGTAAATTCTGGTGTTTCCTTTATTGTTGTTTTATTGTCTTATTTATTATTTGGTGGCTGTCATAATTTTTGGTATAGTAGTTGTGACTTATTCACACTATATACATTTGGCTTCCGCAACAATTGGTATCAGAGCCAAGGTACTGTCTAAGTATGCTCTGT